AATATAAGCGAATATTTCAAAAATGATTCAACAATAGGCTGTAGTTATAGTTTTGTAACAATATTTCTCAAATCCGACTCAAAAGGATAGCTGTAATGCCAAATATCAGCATTGGTTGGTGAAAGATTTTCTTCTATTTGATTGGAGGCATTTTAAGTCAGAGTTTTTATACGGAAACTGATACAAAAGGCTATCAATAACAAATTAAGGTTTCATTTGCCTTTAGGCACTAGAGAGGACAAATAAAAACAAGTAAGGAAAGGACAAAAGTCAGGCGGGGCCGACTACGTATATGATACCCTACACCACCATGCGTATATAGCAGATCTCCCGTAAGAAAAAAAATATATTATGGGAATTAATGGAATACGTTGAATACGTATAATGGATATAGAGTAGTCACAATTTCGGAACTATATCCAACTCTGAATCGATTTGAAACAAATAACCAAATAACATTTCTGCATGATATGACTTCGATAAATAAAAAATATTGTTTGGAAAATTTCGAATATTCGAAGAAACGTAGGAGTCTACATAGAAACGTAGACCTCTATATGCCATTTTATGCCTGTGCATGTAGAGCCCAGCACAAACTCGAAATATCAAAATACCGAATATCGGGAAGAATTGTTATGTGAGGACTATGGGAAAACTTGGACCTATATAGATAATGTTATGCCAGCGGAGGTGGAACCTATTACAAATTCTAAATACTAAACTAGAAACAATTCCTTGGACAAATATGGCTAAAATCACTCCCAATATAAGGTGGTATATAAGGGGGCTATACGGAAACATAGCCCCATACACATATTTTAATTACCAACGATTCCAGACACAATACAAACTATTGTGCCAGATTTCATGGATGTCCCTCGAATAGTGAGGACTGTATCTTCATTTCAACAGACATACGGATATTGTTTTATAGCCTGTCCACAGAAACCAAGTTTCTATTTGATTTAATTTTCTTTTTTCGAACGTACGAAAACCAAAAATTCTATTTGTCTGTCATTTGACTTGCAAATGGTTGAAAATGAAGTTTGGTGAACAGGATATTAGTCTTGTATACTAATCGCAAACGTATATACTTGATAGGGTCTACGACGAATATTTGAGGGTGTTTATGTCAAATGTAAACTCCTACTCTTTTTTTCTATAGTTTCATCTAATTTGGTTGAGCATTTTTAGAGGAACCTTCAAAGCACCGAAAATCGGTATTTTTAGAAGGCTATTCCAATTAGTGATCCTGAATTTGCTGCAGGGAAAGAACAGATCTGCCGAGAACCCAAATTGTCAAGTTTCATCAAATTTAATTGGAAATTGTGGCAGAAACCTTCAAAATACCGAAAATAGGGAGGTACCGTTATATGGAGGGTATACTTGAACGTGGACCAATATTGCCCATTCACAATACCAATCAACCTACGATTGGATCTGGTTTAAATTTGGTTTGTGCCAAATTTTACACCTCCATATTAAATTATGTAGACACTATCGCGATTTCAACAGACAGACGGACTTTCAAATATAAATTTTACTTTTATAATTGTTAACAACTGTGAAATTAAAAAATAAAAAATGAACATGGAAATTTAGCAATATTTCAGACTGTTCTTAATTTTTTTTTCTAATTTCACTAATATTTTCATTCAACAATTGTACAATAAAATCATTAAAAAAATCTTGCTCAAATCAAATGATTTGTAAAATTTTGAATATTTTTGAACTTCATTCTTATTTATTTTTAAGAGATTACTAGCATATAGTAAGGCGCATGTAAGAATTGTTGAACCTGAGGCTCATCTTGTAAGTGTTAACCGATCTTGATTATTCTCACCAACACACAAACATATGTTGTACAAATTAGTATCTGGGTATTACAATTGTTCTTCGTTATATTTAAAATGATAACATATACACATACATATACACTCAAATATTAAACTATATTCGTGTAGGCGACAAGAAAACAAAAAGATAATAACAATGGCTTTTATCTTTGGCATTTTCATACACTAAGTATTCCCGATGGCCTGTTATGGCCCTCTAAAATTCGCCATTAGTTTGTGGGTATTAATAAATATTTCATGTGTTACAAATTTGTCCAGAGGATATTTACAAAGAGCGAACAGCACACATAAGCCGTGCTACAAAGGAAAATCCCAAAAACATAACAACAACAACAGCAGCAACGACAACGGGAGCAGAGCCCATAATGATGGTATCATGAGCAGAATGTTTATATGCCGAGTTTTCTGCTGTTTATAGCTTAGCAAACCAAGCCACCAGCCAACCAACCAGCCAGTCAGTTTGTCAGTCCGTTAGAGCATCAGCTTAATTTAGCCAAACGTTTTGTTATCCTCCAACAGTTCTCACATCATGCAAACAAAAACACACGCACACTCATACACCATGTGTTCACAGTGTCAGTTGTTTTCCAAGTGTGATGTTTTCATGCCATTACATTACTCTTGGCCTCCCCTACTTTAAAGTCGCCTAGCCAAAAGAGAGCGAGAGAGAGGGAGGGATGGAGCGAACTTGCATTTGCTTCCCAGTAACGTAATAACAGACAGGATTTATAGGCATTAAGTTGTTAACTAAAAGTGGAGCTACGAGTTGCCCATAAATCAAGTAGAACTCGCCAAGAGCTTTTGCGCTACCCATCCCTTTTACCCAAAAGACTGGAAGAGTAGCATTGTTCTAGTTCGGAGGGAAAAAATTAAAATTTATAAAGTAGAAAATCAAATGGGATTGGATTTGGTGAGTGAGTAAGTGTGTGTGTGTGTATGAGCCATGCAGTCCGATATGAGGCCAAAGAACGTATGTTCGGTTGAGATGTAGGTGGAATTATGCCAACAAAGTATCATCATACTTCAATGAAATACCTCAGATGATTTAAAAACAATGATATCAGTTATTGTTTTCAATCGTTTTGATTTGTTCGGAATCATTAATTGTAAATATCGGTATAAATTCTCAAAGTTAAGTAAAGATTAAATCCATCATAATTTTACCATGATGTTTCTATTATAATATCTGGAATTCTATAAATATTGATGCAATAAGAATCATTATATCCAACACCTAGGTACGTTCACATTTGATAACAACAAGTTTTCCAGGTTTTGTGTAAAAAAGTGTACAGGAATTAGTCTCAATGAATATGTAAACCTGTATCTAAAAACCGTGTGGCACTTGATGCAGAACAAACTTGAGTAAATCGATACATTTCTGGAAGACGGAAGGGGCTGCAGAATTACATCACATTTTTTGAGAGTCATTATTCTGCAAAATCTTGCCTTTTTGTGGCGGAGGTATCCCAAGAAGCTGACAATAGGAAATTGTTTCGCATTTCATGAGAGTTAAAGTAGGGCTTTGCTATTTGGCATAGTTTACTATGTGTCAGGATTATTGGTATTGGCAAAAACTTCTATCTTTCGAGTTTTGCCTTGTTGAGGCGAATATCATGTGTTTATGATTTATGTGTTCATTTCTCTTTCGAGACAAGCTTAATGATCTGAAATATTCAGTGAAAAGAAAAGCAAGATAGACACTTTCACACACTCACCGCTTTGCGACGCGTTTCGTCGTTGGTTAAGCGGTCATCAGGCATATTTGGTGTGGATGATGGCTTACAAGGGCCGTTCTCTGGTAAGTAGTATTTATTTAGAACTTTTTGCGATTAAGCATATGTGAATTAAACACCAGAAACCCTCCAAGTTCGACTCAAGTTCTACTAACAGATCTTTTTCACAGCACTTTTTTAGTGCCCCTTTACGAATACAGGTTAATGGCTCTGAACGTTGAGACGGCAATTTCGACTTGGCTGCACACCGAGTTCCGCGGTTCAAATCCCACAGCCAGGCTCGCCTGAATTTTAATTTTTGAGTTTTGCTTTGTCTATCATTTGTCGTTTTTTATCAAGGGGTATTCGGTATTCTTATGATATAAACCAGATTTCTCAATGACACCCGCAATAAATACGAACTTTTATAGAACTAAATTGAGTATGTAGATTCACGTTTTGGTGTTACTCCCTCTTTATGTTATTTTGAAGACTTTAACTGCAGTATTCAATCGATTTCACTCACATTTGCATTTTAAAATAGAATTCTCTAGAATATTTTCCGTCTGTGGAAATTACTCTAGTTTCCTAACAAATGCAGGACTTTTGGTATTGAAAATGGGCAATGCAGGTCCACGTTTTGGTATAGCCTCCATATAATGGAACCTCCCGATATCCGAAATTTTTTTTTAGCGATTTTTTCATTTTCGAATTGTTTCAAATTTGGTATTTGAAGTTCGTAATGGCTTATGACAAATGTTACCTATGCAGGTCCATGTCTTCATATAGACCCTAATATAACAGCTTCATTCGCTATTTTTAAGATTTTACAAGAATTTTTAAGGGATTTTATTGTTTTTGAGAATTGCCAAAGTGGGGGATATAAACATCGGCATTTTAAGATCTATCTACAAAAGTGTTGAGTTGAGGGTACATAAATATTTTGATTCATCAGACGATAGAAAACTTCCTGTATATTATGTTGGATATAGTGATTATAGAAATATAATTTGTTATTGAACATTTACATTAGAGGCTGAAAACCAGACAACTTCGCTTTTTCAATATCCTTTTTAAACCAACTCTTTGGATTTTGTAAATATTAAACAAAAAATCCAGTTAATATCCTTAACTACTCATCCAATCGATTGAACCCCACTTCAATTTTGGTATATACGATTCCAATTTTTGGAAATTATTGATCATTATTTCTTTAAGCGATTAGCCTATTTTGATGTAAAAGTATTTTCGGAGAATTGTTCGCTTTTTAGTACATACATACACTTTCAGCAGATCCAACATTTAATATCAAAGGACATAAAATAAAATAAAAATACCGAGTTTGTTACCTCATTCGACTTTAATACTTTTGTCAACACCAACAATTATACCCCACCTCCATTTATGTAACTTATAGCATAATACTTACGTTAGAAGCTGTGTTGTATCACGTTCCACTTGAAATAGATTTCTCGATGTGTAGTCATTAAAATTTGACATAGCCTTGGTAATGTCCTTGCTGCCGTCAATGATAGCCTGATTTTTGCCCCAGGTCTCAATGTAAACCACAGCCACACGGGTATTCATTGTACGGAAATACTGAAAATGAACAGCGAAACAAGAGAGAGAGAGAGATTAGAACACGACTGATAACATTTAATTAAAAGCGTCGAACACTATCGCAGTGGCGAAGCCCAACCGACAGAAAAGAAACACTGCTGTTACTGAGAGCTTTCAATTAAAATTTGCGGGAAACAGGACAAACAGAGTGCCCTCTCGCCGACGAAAGACAATAATAAATTAAACAATTAAAAATACTTTTAATGCGAAATAAGACCCTCATGGATTAAGTGTATTAGTTTGTATGGTGGACGTATGTTTGTGGATGTGAGTGTGTGTGTGGTAATCTGTATTTTTGCAAGGATACGAAGATGCGTTTTGACACGAACATACATGATTTATTAGCCAGGCCAAGTAGCAAGACCCTCCACCGAAATAAAAAAAAAAACGACAACGCCATCAGAGAGGCCAAGTTGTAGATGAATCTTCAACACGAGTCGAATGTTAAATTCCAAGTCCAAGCAATGGAGCTGGCAAAATGCTTAATGGACCTTGGGTTTGTCGAAATGTGCAGAGGAAGTGGCACATAGACAGCCCAGGACCAGACATAGCTATGATGTGGTAATGGAGTTGTTTCACATCGACTTCGAGGAGTGAGTGTTTGGCCAAAGATAAAATTGCATTTTAGGCTAAGCGACTCGACTGCTCGTATTCCTTCCTTCAACTAATGGCATAATGAATGGCTACCATGATCATCATCTCCGAAGGAGGTAAATACGCTAGCAAGGAAAGTGCTCCAACGAAACATTTAAACGAAGAAGACGGAGCCCGACCACAGTTGTTTTTGCGTGTGTGTGTGTGCGTTTTGTTTAGTTGGCTGCTGCATTCATTTATTTATGGTTTCCATTCTCGACTCCAGACCAAACAAAATGATTGAGCTCAACAATAAATAACCGAATACTGTCAGCCACCAGTAGTTGGAAAAGCAAAACAATGATTTTATAGTACACACACACACATGCCCTTAAATGTTTGATGTTAAACGCGACTCCCCCGGAAATAGCTGGGAAGGTAGAGAAAAGACTCAGATTGTCTGTAGAATGAAAAATAAAGAAGAAAACATTGAATTTAAAGAAAACTTTTATAGGCACATATCTTACTTGTGTTTGGCATTACAAGTGTTTGACGAGGACCGTATATAAAGACTCGGATAAGTAATTCCAATTTAAAACTCTAATTCAAATAGAGGAGAGTGTAATGTAAGTTACTACTTTCTAGTGTAAGTTATGACTCAAATACCGCTGGTCTGATTGTAACAATTTAGTCAAATTCAGAATTGTCTCTTGGCAAAACAGGATAACATGAAAAAATAAAATGGAGTAGAAATGTGAAATTTGAAAACTTTCGTTTTGAATTTTGGAATGTACAATTGTAAGGTTTTATATTTCATGATTTTTTTTCATTTTGACCCCGAACAGAAAAGTTTAAAATCCCAAAATATCGGGTCAAAATACATAAAAAAATGTGGATATAAACTATTTATGTGACATATATATTTTTTAATTTTTCGTAATTTTTTATATCGCGATGACAATTTTTCAATTTGACATGCCATTTTAAAGTATACATTTTTTTTTTTGTTTTGGATTCTGGATGTAAAATGAGGAAAATGAGATTGGTGCAAAATACGATGTTGAATGCTTATTCTTCCTGACATCCAGCTTTTCAGCAATTACATCGTGCTTCAGATGGGAAATGCCAAGACATTCCAGCAAACAGAAATGGCCAACACAGCTGTATGAACTTAAAAGAAAGTCATTGGAACTGCAATCAGTGACATCCTCAGTAAAGAGGCACTGCTACATACGGACTATATAAAATGGTAGTGCAAATTGAACACTTAGTAAGAAAGGGATTCATGTCCTCCGAAAATCCTTCGGAACCTATTCTGAAGGTTCTTAAATCGCAGGTACTTTTATGTGGGGGTACCTGTGCGCAATAAGGAGTAATGACATTGTGCAATTGCCAATCTGGGGGTTGGGAAACTCCAAGAGGATAGTATTCAGTTAGTGGATCAACAGGGTTTGGGTTCCCAGAACAACCTTTTTTGGGGTTTATTAAATAGCCTTTACCATACACAAAGGGCTTCCGAAATATTTTTCAAGCTAATTTCCTCTAATTTCGCCTTATTTGTCATTTTTGCTTTTATAGGGGAATGAAAATCTCTTTTCAGAAAATATTCAATGTAGGTCTATGTTTTGGATTAGAGCCCATTTAAAGGTACCTTCCGATTTTATCTATTTCGAGGACAACATTTTTCAATCGATTTCACTTCAAATGTGCATTGAGGGTATATCAGATATCTGCCCTGTCCTAAACCCTAACCCCAACCAGAATTCCGTGTCGATTGGTTTTCAATTGTGACTTATAGTGCGATTGTAAAATCAATAGGCTTTAATTCTGTCCCTAAAACTATCCTTATGCAAAATTTCGTGAGGATCGGATGATAATTTCGACCTGTACCCTAAAACATAGTGTTGCAGGGTGTAGAAAAACCTTAAAAAATGTGTAATTCAAAAGTGTAAGTCAAGACAACAATTGAAAAAATATTTATTTTTATATTTCTTTATTTATATTTCCGAATTTATGAGATTTGTGAAAATTAGTCCAGCGGTTCTTGTAAGCAGAAGATCTATTTCTTTGCATATATATTGTACTATATATCCCATATGTTGGCTATTAGCATCACTGTAGTGTTCGGAAGTGCAAAATCAGGATATGTTTCTGTTTTTGTCCATTTTAACCCCTAAGTATTTCGCGATCATCTCCAAAAACAATGGACTTCTATTCTGGCCCTAACCCCACCTCCATTTTCAATTTAGTGAGGATCCGGCCATAATCGCTTTTATGAGAAAAAGGTCACCATTAAATATTTGTAGACACCAATACCAAGCACAAATTAATTTCTTCTGTGTCTTCTGCTAACAGGTTCCACCGTTGGTTTCTTTTTCAGAACAAATCTTCTGTTTTCTTGTTCTTCTTCGTCTTCTTTTACAGATTCATAAAGATTTGGTTTTTGTGTGATTTACTCCAGTGGCAAACTGTGTGGCAGAGTGCCATTGTCGGTCCAAACCCATAAAAGATGAAGTGAACAAAGCAGAGATGGCAGAGTCGAACGTTTTTGTGTTATTGTTTTCCAGTTGGAAGACATATCCTGTGCATTTCAACTCACTTGACACATATTTTTTGCAAAGTGTGTCGTCGTCATCATTGTTGGTGTATTTGTTGTTGTTGTATTGTTTACTTCTCTATTAAATGCACTTGTGGGCTTTTAGACAAAACAATTTCAATTATTTTCAAAGTTCATTGATACAATGTGCCCTGCATCGCTCGCCCACTGTTCTCTCTTCGTTACCGCTCGCCTGTGTTCAAACATTGTACCTTAAATCTCAATTTCGAATACTTTGGAAATAGAAATGTAACCAAAGATTCACAGAGTCCTGATCCATTGTTGTGTCAGAAGGATTGCATTTTAGTTATTATTCCGTTTGATTGTGGTCAAATGGAATACATTTTGGTTGCATAACATTGTCATGCTGCTGACTAAAGTATTGGTTTCATCTGTTGATGTGGTAGTAGATACTTTATTATATATGTATTAATTGATAAGAATTCAATGGTAAAAAGTTTGTACAAGTACATTAGAACTGGTTGCTAAGAATTGAGAAACAATATTGGATTTTCATTTTCAAAAATTAAGTTTTTGGTTTTGTGAATCATTTCTTAGAAAGAGAGCTTATGAACCCTTTTCGGTTGATCGGTTTCTTCTCTTTGGATAGTTGATTGATCTTAATATTTATTTGACCACCTCCTTGTTCATCAATTTCGAAAATAAAATGGATAATTGGAATTGGATTTATTTAGATAGACAACAAATGCAAAGACATAAAATGGTAAAGACTAGACAAAATGCATTCTGAGCAAAAGGTTTGTGGCTATACTACCTTGAATAACAGCTCATGACAGAGACAAGTTAATATAAAAAACACAATTATAGGAAAGAATGACAAATAAAAATTTGAATAATCCAAAATATTGGTTTCAAAGTTCTATTCCATATACCTTCCAAATAATTGCATACTGTCTTAGCGGTTTAAATTGCTTAACATTGGTAACTATGTTGTTACGATATCATAACAACAGAGGCATTTTTCACAGGGTTGCCATATTTTACTCTGTCTTGTCCTATCTTTACACTTCTATGTCTTTGACAAATGTCTATGAGATTTTCATAAATTTCACATATCATTGTTATTTCGTTTGATACCCAAAAATGTGCCTCATTTATATAATTTTTGCATTCTTTTTTTTTTTTTGCATTGCATTGCATCTAAACTTGTTATATTTTAACGACACGTAAATGAAGTTGGAAAAAGTCGTACACTAATATAATTTTCATGTATTCAAATATTTTCTTGCTAACATTGGACTCAGATTTAAAATAACCTATATCGATCCACTACTTCCATGGGGTCAAAAAAGATGTACATTATTTGAAAAAATCATGAATCTCCAATAATAAATTTTTACCGGTTCTTAGATTTTAAAAAAGGGTTTCCCAAGTCGTTCCAGGTAAAAAATTATCATAAATTTTATTTTTTCATGGACTTCTCGGCTATTTATTAATAATTATTATTTTAAGAATATTTTTGAAGGTCTTCCTGGAAAAAACGTTACCAAGGATCATATTTCTATTTTTAGAATATTTTAAGATTTTGTAGTCAAAATTTCTAGACTTCCCAGTAAAACAAGGTGGATTTTTAAATTTAAAATTATTTATCTGCTAAAGAAATAATATTCGAAAATTATTAAAATTCACTACAAAAATGGTAAAAGCTAGCAGTCACAGTTCGCAAAAGCACTTTTGGATCGTCAGAAAGCACATTTTCGAACCGCAATACAAAAATTGAAAGAAAAGTTCCAGCTCTTGAGCAAATTAGTAATGTGAAGAATGTAAATCATGTACTTTGCTCAATGACAACTACGAATATATGTTAAGGAAAGCTAATGTCATCCACACTTTGTCTTTTTTTGTACTGCCTAAGGACCTGGCTCAATTAAGTTCAATTAAAACGGGTACTAAGTCGAAAAAATAATATTAAAAGATAATGTCCATTTCCACCTCGGTGGCTACTTCACCTTGAGCTAAGCCCTTCAATACTATTGTATTTTCCACACAAGCAAAGAAGTCCTTGTGATTTTTTGGGCAACATTTCCAGACCAGGTTGTGTCTCGAGATGACAACAATTGGTTATCGAAATCTTGTGGTTTAACATTTTGCGGCTTTTTAATTTGGGACCACGTGAGAGATAAGTGGGCCAACAGCCCTACGTCGACTGAAGACCTCAAAGATCAAATTCATGAGCCTATCGAGGACATAGGGCATAAATTTTCAATTATAGTTATGCAAAATTTAATGAAGAGGGCATGATCCTTAAGCTTCCTCGTGGTGGAAACTTGGCTAATATTATCTCTCATTATAAACAGCTAAGCATCCTCTTTATTACGAAACGAAAGTCCGAGAATATATTTAAGAAAATTTTGCTGTTCTCTGATATATATAGATATAATAAACGTATGTAGCTAAGGGTGTATATCTGCCCTCAAATGGACTGATTATCTACCAATTGTTTTCGTTATTGTACACAACATTCCAGTACGGAAAAATACACTACATACCGTTACAGCAAAAATCAATAGCTACTTTCTTTTCAAAATCTTTAATTATTCCATTTGCGGCCGCCTACCCACATCAATGTCTGGGTAAATGCTCCCATTTGGCCTTAAGTGAATGCAAATGTGATAAATAACTTTGAACTCTATAAATGTTCCATAAATAATTACAACGAAATTTACCACAAACATTACAGAGATGTGCACAGGCACGACCTGAGATCATAAATAATTCCGATACGAAGCGTAGTAATGAGCGTCTCTTGTGCAGCCACCCGCCCACACGAGACCTAATGGAAGACCGACCAAATGGATGAACTAATGGAGCAACTAATTGTGTAAAGCCGTAATAAAGAGCTAACCGCCAGACGAATCTCAGATTGGAGGTCTATTTAAAGCGAAGGCAGACAATTGTCGTTTGTCTTCTTCGTCTCTGCGGATGGACTGACTGACAAACAACGTTGCACAGAGAAATAAAAAAACTAAAAATATGCGGCGGGCATTCTTCTGGAATCTTTCCCTCCACTAATTTTCATAGCTAAGAGAATGGTTTTGAAATTTTCACAAGAAAAATGAATTTGTTTTTAAAGAATGGAAATTTAAGAGGTTTCTAGGAAATACGTGAAGGATAAAAAAAAACTAAAAAGAGACAAAATGCGAAAATGAAATGCTTTTGTGTCTATTTGTTATTTCAGATCTCGTTCACATGACCGACAGGCAGTGTAGGGGAGGGAATGTGGCGGTGTGCAAAAAGTAAAAAAAACGACAAGAAAACCCGGAAGTGCTTGCCTACCATTCAAACAAATGCTAAACGTGGGAATGCAAGTGTGTTGGTATAAGTGAGTAGTGGCTCACTGTGTGTGCGAGTGTATGCATGCTCTTTAAACATTCAAATATTGCACGTGTTTGCCACGGTAGTAGTAGTTGCTGTTGTTAGTTACTAAACGTATGAATGAGTGTGTTTGGCATAGAGTTAAGTAAAACAAAACGACAGAGGACTTTCGTGTCGTTTATTGAAGAGAGAGAATCATGACTGACTTACTTGCAACAACTTCGAAAAAAAAAAACCCACACACTTACGTATATATGTACACAAGTTTCAATGGGTTGGGATGTGTGTAGGAATAGATGTGTATTTGTTTTAAGTTTAGATCTAGTGATGCCGAGAATCGTTATTTTGGGAAATTTTTAAATGCTCGGAAAAGGGATTTTGATAAAAGGATTTTGTACTGCCAAACAACTACCTTCGATGAACCCTTGTGCATGTACATTTCGTAGCAATTCAACAGTCAAAACCTAAAAATGCGAGTTTTGAATTGAAAATAAGAATGGTTATAGACCACCTTGGAAATAAAAAATTATAGGCATCCAGTAGGCATTTAACAGTCTTTACTAAAAATAATACATAAATTGATGAGCCCCTCAACCAACCACGACAAGCATCGCATATTTGTGGATGATTGGGATTCGCTAGATTCGAATTTTCAATGCCTTCTCTTAAGGTTATTAAAAGCTAAGGTCCAAAAACTTCAATGGTAACAAAAATTGGTACATGCTAATACTAAAAGTTTCTCTGCGGTATTTTGGCCCATTAGTGCCAACCTTGATTTCCAAAATACTCCAGACACAATAGCCCATCGGATTGGTATCCGGAGATTTTGGTGGTCATTTTGCGCTGGATATTAACGAGGAACCTTACTTTGTAACCATTCTTGGGTGGCGCGTGCTGAGTGCGATGATGCTTAGTCCTGTAGTAATGTACAAGGTCTGCAGCCAAAAACACACATTTAATACATCCTCCAGAATATTTTCGCGATAATATTCGGCTGTTATGGCGGTCCTCATCATCACCATTGCCGACGCTTGAGTTCTGGTGGCCAACCAAAAGTGCACATTTCAGCTGACCTCTTTGGCAAGTAAACACGATCATTTTGTTTTTTTTTTACAAACTGCCGCACGACGAATGTTTTCTCGTCGGAGAAAAACAAATTCGACAGTTCACCATATTCGGCCAAGCGAAGCAACTCTTTAGCTCTTTTGAGTCTATTTTCTTCCTGTTGTGGTGTAAGTTTTTGCAGCTTTTGGAATTTCAATGGCTTTACCCCGAGCTCATTTTTCAATATTTGCCGAATGGAATATTGCGATATGTTCAGCTCACGAGCATTTTTCGGCCACTGCGACGCGGGTTTCGATGAAGTCGCTTCTTTATTTTTCGGACCATTTCTGCTGATGTTGCTATTTCTTCCGTCTACTTCCTTGGACTAGGCATAGTCCACAGTCCTTGTATAGTCTTATACAGGGCTCGACATTTTCTTTCATTTTTGTGGGTATTAATTTCATGGTGGAGGATATGGCAAGTTCAGCTAAAAAGCAATTTTTAATGGAAATTAAAATTTGAAATGGCAACCCTGATTGGACCACCGTTCGTTTGCAAAACTTAAGATTTATGTTTTGCATTTAAAAGATTTAAAGCCTCCTGTGGTGAGGTTTAAACAAAAGAGACGGGTTTCAGTTTTCCAACGCGGCATCATCAGACACATGGCCCGTTATCCATCGAGTAACGACTACACGAATGGAATATAAAAAAGAGGAACTCAACTCCAACGAAAGACACACAAATAATGAGCCTAGCAAAGTCTATGGTGGCTCTATTTGCCATAAATATCTTGTCGCAGCAACTCTAAGCCAACTTTGCTCTTTGAGCGTGACCCCCCATACGTCGTGTCTATCACATGTGATTTGGCAGTAATTTTAAATTAAAACAAAAATAAAACAGAGAATAAAAAAAGGAAGATATCGCCCAACTCATTTGGGGTTCTTAGACTGAATGTGTTTGGAATAGAGTTAGTGAATCTAGTGACATCAGTGCCTCGTAAATAAACAACAAAAGGGGTGTGGGGGAGTCTTATACAAACACTTACCAAATCCGCAATGTTGGCAACTTGTATTGCATCGTGTATTACTTCGGCCCTTGTACTGCCATTCCGCTTATCGAACATGGCCTTGTCCACTATTATGGCAGTTTCTATGTATTTGGTAGCCTCGCGAACATCACGTTTATAGCGACCAGCACCATTTGGATGTATCTCATCGATAATACCAGCTGACAAATGTTTTGTGCGTCGTGACAAACGCCACGAGTCCAGATTGCCCGTATTCGCGCAGCCCTTGTTGGCTTTGGTGCGTGCCTCAAAGATAACATGAGGATGCTTCTGCTGAAACAAATGTTGAAACGAAAGTATGAGCAAAATGCAAATGGCGGAACAAGAACAAATAGTAAATTTCAAGAGTTTAAATGGGATTGGTGTTGGACAAATGGCAAGTAGTAAATAAATTGTTGGAGATTTTTACACAAAGTGAGACATGGCATGTGCAGCGTGTATGCAATGACTTTCGAAGATTTCTCGCATCGGCAAACTGTGATAATTTTACAAGACTTGAGTAAATAGTTTAAATATATATATTCTAGTATGAATTAAAATAATAGTATTTTACACTGAGATACGCAATTATTTTTGAGGTTTAAATTTCCGTCACAAGCCTGAAAAGTAGATCATTATTTGCTGTTCACTTTTAATTCTGGATTCAGTATGAGGGATATGGTTAAAGATGCAAGGAATGACATATGGAATTGTTTGTTCGTCCTATTGCTGACGACATCTCATCGGTGTTATGCTGAAGTGTTTTATATGCTATTTGAGAAATACTTATTTTCAAACTTTAAAATCTGTTTAACAAAGAATAGACAGTTTTTAAATACGATTTTTTCAACATAATTGTAAAAAATTCTGCAAAATGTTAGTTTTCCCGAATTCTGTCAATTTTGTGGCAATGCAAAGTACAGCTAGTTGCGATAAATTTCAAAGAAGAAACAAGGTACATAAGGCAACAATTGGGGGTCGTCGATCAGACCTTGATGGCCTCTTCAACGCTATAGTCCTACAAAGTTGAGATATATAAACGTGTTCCTCCTCATGACACTAGTGGGTCAATAACCCAGGCGCAGTAAAGTTCTATAGAATCTAGAGAGGAAGCTTATCCACCAATCTGGGTAGTATTATTTTTGATTTCTTCACTGATGTCATTAACCAATGCAGTACGAATGCTATTCGCTGAGTCCAAAGTCCATCCATAGAAGCTGGAGAACGTCGGATGCCTAGACAAGGCAATTTGGATGGCGAAGCCGTCTTTTTATATTGGGCGTAAAACAGTCCCGCATACTACCGCGCTAATGTTTGAATGATCAGCGAAACTTATCCTAATGAAGATTTTCATCTGCCCTCCATACAATACCTGTATTTTTGTATTTAGAGATAGCGACAGAAACAACCCTATGTTACCACAACTATGGATTTCATAGCATTTTGACCATAATTCGTTTCATTTGCTGGCATTTACTAAAAAAAGTAAATGTGGATAAAAATAGGTTAAAATGTATCCGTCGGTTTTGCCGACAGATGTATACCTTCAGCCCGTTTCATGAGCTTCTGCGGGGGAGGATCCAGAAAGGGAGGGCCGACATTTCCCATATTTTAGTGGATCGATGATTGATAGAAATATTGAGACACACGAAGTTTGAATGTAATGAGACGTTGACCCATTGTAGCGGAGATATCAGAAGGAGTGGTCAATAAATCACATATTCACAACGGATATTGTGTTGGTAAAAATATTGGGATGTGTCAAATTTGAAAACATTCGGATGTTCATTTTGCATTTTATGAGGGTGATTGGTATACAAAATTTTGACCTGTTATGGGAGAGGTACCAGCATGAGTTCCATTTTCATACAATATCTATAAATGGAAAAGATATTGGGATATGAGAATTTTGAGCACAAACAGATTCTTCTGTCACATTTTATAGGCATTTCCTTTATTCAAATTTTTGACACTGTGTGTGTGGTAGAGGTAGCAGAAGTATTGATCCACCTTCATATCGGTCTTAGGGTTATTATAAATATTGGGATATGCAAAATTTGAATATAATCAAATTTTTTCTTTCACATTCACGTTGCGATTATTCAAAAGTTTGCCCTTTTCGTCGGGGAAATACCAGAAGGAGTGGTCCGATCTATCCCATATTTTTTCCAGATCTAGGGGTGTTAAAAAGTTGAAAGCAATCAAATTTTTAACATTTTATAAATGCTGCATTTATTATTATTATTTGACCCTCCGTGAGGAGCCCCATCACCGAACTCAATCTACGTTTGATAATAATATTTCTATGTCACAAGTTTCATCCAAATCGAATCGGATTCCTTCGAGAGTTGTTGTTCGCATCAGCCAGATGGACACCCCTTGATCGACTCGTAATGTCCTGAAATTGGTCCAAAGAGTCCACGTAAATCAACACCTGCACGAACAGAAAATTGGTTCTTCTTAATCGGGGGAAAAGGTTAAAAACATTAGTAGAATAAAATATTTGACACTTCATCAATATTCTGCATGTTCCAGCGTAGCCAGTGATTTTTAAAGGAAAAAAGTGAATACAAATAAAGGGTAACTTCTTTTGATATCTCAAAATAGTTCTCTTTAAATTTTTCTTTTTAAAGCAATTGTACTGTCGAACTCCATTGGGGGTTAAAGTAACTGTCAATTTCGAGTTGTAAACAATTCGCCACTTACAAACATTTCGAAAGTAAAATTGGGGCCTTGGAAAAGCTATTTCTTCGTCAAGGGGAAAGGGTAACAACCACTTTGCAAACAAAGCCAGATCGAGCTATTTTATTGTTGTTGTATTATTTTTAGGGAAAATGTAGCAAACAAACCAAAAAAAGGAAAAATAATGAAAGAAAAACATTTTTTTGCCTATACATCAAAGTGTGAGTAGATATGCATGTATGTAGACATGTTCATCGATATGAGCATGCAAAATTGCTACAGAGGTTTGTCAGAAAGGTAAAAGTTGTTGTAGCTGTTCTTGCTGAGACCTCTCCAATAAGGTACCCACACACACACATGTGCAAACCCTTAACACACATGTGTATACGTCTCTCATGCCTACCCTTTGGAAGAGGCTGCTAAATAAAGGAAATGCTGCGTCAGATATTTCCCCCAAAAAATTGGTTGTTGCCCGTCGAGTCAGAGTGTTTGCGTTGCTCCAATTGGAAATTTACATTTTTCTTTTCATTTCACTTCGATATATTTGCCTGCATGATGAAATTAAGCCCTCTCTGAATTGACTGCATGGGGCTCATAGAAACTACGACTTGGTACCCGAACAAAAAAAAATATATATATTTTTGGAACTTTGCTTCAGCTCGAAAATTGTAAAAATATGTTTGTTTGTATAGCGTTTTTACAGTTCGTCGAATAGCTGGCAATTGTAAAGAAGAATTATGTTATGCATTGTTCTCAAAACGTACCTACGTATGACTGTGTGTGCAAGGAACTTGTACACATGCAAAGCAATTGAATAATATGAATTATTTCGAAAAAATTGGTTGTCTGAAGTGGAATAAATAAAGTTTTTGGCGGACAAGGACAGTGTGTTGTATTGGTGCTTCCCTTGGGGGACCGGTGCTTAACAACAACTCAATGCCGCTATATTTTTCAATAATATTATACAAATTCCACCTTAAAGTCGCTGTAAAAATATTTGGATATTTTCAAATGTTTTCCCTAGAAATTTCAAATATTGAAGTCTTATTTTTATCACTTTTTTTTAGGAACAACAATCTCTGTTGATTAAATTCCCTCTGACTCTCTTATGAAAACAAACTTCAGCAGACATTTAAATTTTCACAAGTGCTTTGAAACTAAATTGACCACGATGCGGAATTTCGAATGCTTACTACACATTTTATCTTTGCATCCGCAATGGGACTTATCTCTCCACTCTCCGAAGTTGACTCCTCCAGCAACATGCAATTTATGAGGTATTGTTTGTAAAACATTTTATTGTTTATGATGTGGTCTTTTAAAGTTACATTCGGACATGATTTCCCTCCGGCCTTTTTCCGGTTTAGGAAAATTTTCAAAGTTTGTATTGCAGATAAAAAGAACAACAACTACAAGAGCAATGCTAAGAGTGCTAATGCAAGGGTGGGGGAATTTGAAATGGGATGGCTGGCTGGCTGGCTGGCTATGCCTACACAACATGTTTTTATTTCCAATCAGACAACGCCTTACAGCGGAGATGAGTTTTGATTTTTGCATGCCCAAACATGAATCTGAAGTCTGGAACTGAGACTTAAATGAAAGTTGATTGATTCATGGCAAATGCGTAATGTTGAACACAACAGATTAAATGTGATGATATATTTCAGTGAGTGAGTGAGTGCGTCAGTCAGTGAATGGATGGTCCAAAATGGACGCAATGCAGCTGTGGGATATACAGAGTTTACATGATTGCCATCGGGTTGCATTATGGTTGTTCTAACTTGCAATCTATGCGTTGGTAGTTATTGAGTGTTGTATGTCAACTGATAGTTGACCAATACGTACCATTTTGAAAACAGTTTCCTAGAGATAGAAGAATTGTTAAAAAATTTGCTGAAGATTTTGATGCTCAGAAAGGACTTACAATTAAATATTGGCGATTGTTTACGTTTTAGTTCGTATTTTGCAAATATAATTTTTGATATTAAATTATAAAACTATTGATCGTTTTTGTCATTCATTCTGAATGGCAAGAAAATGACGTTACCCTCCATCCAGAAATTATAACAAAGGTTACAGCCAAAAGACCGCACCGACGTAGACAGGTTGGCCTAAGGGTTCCCCACTTTCATTTGTAGTAATAACTATTTAGATATTTTTGAGAATCTCAGTTTTTGTCGGAAATTTAATCTACAGATAAACTCAAAATTCAGTTTTATCTGGGAAATATACATACAGATGTTCTTTTTTAATTTAATAAATTTATAGAACATTATATCAATTTATTAGGCAAAACAGAAGAGGTCGATCTGACCAAACTTTTTATAACATCCATAAAAGAGAAAAACTTAAATACTTTTGGATCAGTTCTCTTAAAATCTATAATTTAGGGCAATGTGTTTGGGATTGTCAAAATAACTTTAATTGGGTGGTTACCGATATATTCCGGGTACATTTAAAATTTTTGCTGATGATATTTTCTACTAATAGAAATGGAAAATATGACCAGAATTCTAAAATCTACGGTAAAGCAAAAATATTTCAAATGTCGAAAATCGGGAACAAAGACCTGGTGAGATGAAAAAACTGCAACCAACTTAAGACTGCAG